TTCTCCAAATTTCATATAAGTGCAAATAACCTTAACAAATACACATTAAATCATACACAAAACTGAATGCTGTCCTTATAAATTTAGTTATTTCATAACGCGTAACTGGAATGCAGCCTTAAGGCATGTGACTTATGTAAAGTTGCGAATTTATAACCAAACTTAGACAAATTTGTTTATTGTCTATAGTCCGGGGACTTGTTTGATGAACTTTGTTTTAATTTTTCCTTGAATCCCATTTTTGACAAAAACAATTTTATTATATGAACACATAAACTTAACAAACAAATAGCGTCTTAATCTCAATCGCATGCAGCATAATATGCAATAGCCCCAGCGACTAACGCTCAATAGAGCGTCTTGTTTAGTTAAAACGTTCGACGCCGTTTCGAGTGTTTTATGTAAATTTACTGACTTTTGCTACTTAAGAGTGTTTAAAATAAAGATAAGTACTTTTAATGGGCAAATAAAATATAGTATGCATGTATGCTTTGGACTGAATAAAAAATGTATTTATATTAATTTAATCTTATTTTCTGACTTTGCCGCTCTCGCTAAAATTTCAAACCAATTCATCCACAATTATTGTTATGATCCGCTTTAGTACCTCATTGCCACAAATTGAATACAGGCGTAGCCACCTTGTCTGATACTGTGATAGCAATGCGATAGTCGTTTCAAGCTTGATCAGCATAAATAATACTAATATTTGCATGTCATTTACACACTTCAGAGTTCAGTAGTCTTAATTTAGACGCCATACTTAAAACACAACAGCGTTAATTTTATGCTTTATTCTTCAGAAGAAGTCGCTCGAAGATGGAATCGAATTATTCTATCAATCTGTTAGCCATATTTGCTGTGAACGTATTCTTCTTTTTCTCAGGAATATTTTTAAATTCCTTGGTTATACTCAGTTTCTGGAGGTCTGTACAGCTTCGAAAAAAATTATGTTACTTCATGGTAATGGTTTTGTCCTGTTGCGATTTGCTCGGGGTTATAACTAACAGTCCATTGATGGCTCTGATCGCGATCATATGCTTTACTGGAAAATGGGATGAAAATGCTGGATGGGCTCATATTTCCTCAACATCGACAAGTAGTTTCCTTGCTTTTTCATTATTCGCTCTTCTGGTGATGAATTTCGATCGATATTTGGCGACATCTTATCCTATCTTTCATCGAACGTCGGTAACAAAGGGAAAACTTTTAACTCTTCTTGCAATACTGATCACCATCGAAGTAATTTTGAGAGCGATGTCTGTGAATAACTTTCTTATTTCCAACCAATGGCATGCTGCAATTTTTTTTAGTTTTTTCATTCCTCCAATGTTATTTATCAACTACAAACTTATTCTAGTCGTCAGGAAAAGTCGTAAAAACAAAAGAATATCACTCGAAATCAAAAAGACGTTTTCTTTCAAAAATGTTTCTAGTTGTTTGCTAACAGTCGCTTGTGTCGTGGTGTTGTCCATTCCAATGGTCGTCTACATTGGACTAAAGATAAGCTCACCAAAGACAACGGGCACTTTAAGTATCGCATACCTTGCAAGACTCTGGGCAAAAACCATAAGCTTGATGAATGGTACATTTAACTGTTTAATCTTTTACTGGAAAAACAAGGTGTTACGTACCGAAGGATTAAAAGTTTTGAAAAGCCTGAAGATATGTCGACGGGTTGAATCCCGCTAGCTGCATTTATAACCCTTCTTCACGAAAACTTAACGTTCCAAGGAAACTCGTTGCATTTCAGGATTTTAATTTTGCCTTACACTGTATCCTCATGGCTTAGCTAACAATATCTTGATCATAGTAAATGTGAACACAACAACTATAAACTCATAGGCAGGGTGTGTCAAAAATAGCTGACCAGTTTTGGCATGTTATTTTGCGTTAAATATTGCGTACATTGATTTAATTTCCCCATACTAATAAGGATTACGCCTTTGACTATCGAATGAGACTTTTTTTGTATCATTGCGTTACGAACTGGCTTATTATTTCTGCCGTTAATGGCTATAGACTATATTATACAGCAATTATTTTTATCATTCGCTCTCGTCGTATATGGCTGACACCGACTTGGCGAGCTATCACTTATCAGGACATATACGACTCGAGCTTATGACATAATTGTTAATTATACACACTTTAGTAATTCGTTATAATGACTTTGAGTAGTTTTGGCAACAAAAGGCCAATAGTACATTGTTACACTGCATTAATATATAAGTAGTACGTTGTATAATTACTTTGCTATAGTGCGAGTGCCATTTAATAGAATAACACAGAGACATATAGTTATAGAGTAAAAATAGAAAGTGAGACTGCAGTTTGTATTTCTAAATATTTCGTAAGTATTAAATTCTCATTATTGGGAATGGTAAAACTAGAGACAGTTGTAGTTAGGCGCTTCAGAGTTTCAATAAATTCAAGGAAAGGAACGTTTGATTGTGAGTTTCTCTGAAAATGTCCTGGCAGACTGTATTCTGCCTTTTTTCGGCCCCAGGCCATTTTTCTGCTGTTGCAATGACAGAAAATGATTGGTACTTATAAACTTCCAAGTTTTTTCTTCATGAAATTATAAAGAGAATTATATTGAAAGCAGAATATTGTGTTTATAAAGTCAACACATAAGTAAAGCACCTGCTTAGGGACTTTGTTTTAAGTTTAAAGTTGAAACTGAGATTTGGCGTAAATAATTTCGCTGGCAAATGGGATTTAGAATTTTAGGACCCTTTCATAAATTATGAAATATTTCCAAACACAGAGGGATATTATCTCTTCTCCATATTATCATTTCTTGTTAATGAAATGCACAGTACTTATGTATGTTATTTACAATATACAGCTATTTCAATTAAGGTTCTCCCCCGAGCAAAGCGGAAAAGTCGAATACGAGCGCGAAAGGCTGCTGGGAATCGCTAATAAATGAATGAATTTATTAGCGATTCCCAGCAGCCTTACGCGCTCGTATTCGACTTTTCCGCTTTGCTCAGGGACAACCTTAATTGAAATAGCTGTATACGTCTGCATTCTAAAAGCTCACTCACACTCAAAGAGTGGAGGTTCAATCTGAGCTTCCCTTGAGTGTCTGTACTGTTTCTGAATAGCTGGAGGGCTAGTGTCGTACCTTATACCCTGTGACTACTCACCCCTCAGCTATTCAAAAACAGCATTGACAGCCAAGGGAAGCTCATTGAACCAAGCTTCCACTCTTTAAGTGTGAGTGAGCTTTTAGAATACATGAGCGATTCTGCAATGTCATTGGCTGAACTACTGTAGCGAAAAACAAGATGGCGGCTCAAAAACTACAAGAAGTTGCGAACCGGAAAGAAAGGAAAATATTCACTTTTAAAGGAATAAATATAGAAAAAAAACTCCCAAAATTTTTTGACCGGCTAGCAAATACATTCATTATTTATTGAAATTGGTTTAAATGCAAATATTTTAAAGAATTAGCGTCTAAGTTTTTTTAAAAAAATATTTCTATCAAATTTTCAAGAAAAGTTGCATGTGTGTCGGACCGAGGCTGAACAAATTGTCAAAACTTTGCAACAGCTAGAGAAGAATATATTATTGAGCAGGGCCGGCGAGAGGTTGGCGGGGGCCCGGGGCAAAAACAAATTTTTTTGGGGGGGCCCCCTATAAAAAAATTTTTCCGGGAGTCAAAAATTTTTCCGGACAAGTACGTTGCTATTGCTTTCCAGGGACTTTATCTAATTTTTTATGCCAAATTTCGGTACTTAGCCCAAGAAAACAGACATCTTGTCCTTTGTGCGGAAATATTTACACACAAAAAAGACTGGGGCCCAACAAATATTTTTCAGGGGCCCCAGCACCTCGGGTCCGGGGCAATTCCCCCTGCCCCCCCCTCTCGGCGGCCCTGTTATTGAGGCATAAAGTTAATAGCTGTAAGACTACAGTGTATTATCAAATAATCTTGAAAAATATATTCGACTGTTTTCGACTCCTGAAATTTACAAAAAAATAAACAAATTTTTGAGAGCAAGCAAACTCACTTTCGAAAAAATATACATGTGTATGAGCGATTTCTCCCCATTATAAGTTTCGGCTTCATCACGGATTGTTGGTCACAAAATGACCTACGTCATTTTTTTGTCAAACATTACGTCATTACTTTCAGTCGCTGGATTCAAGATGGCCGCCTATTTGGGAGCGTATTCGGAAATAATTTCATCGATTTTGTGCATATTTTCTTCATTTTTTCGATGAAACTTAATAGTTTTCCCATCAGCCAGACTCTATAAACCGAAAGTCATCTTATATGAGTAAACTTGGAAGACTGGAAGCCTGAAATAGACGACAAAAGTTCACAATTTTCACAAAGTTGGAACTTCGTAAATTGCAACAATAATATTCGCAAGTTGCTGTTTATTTGGATGTAAATAGAATCTGCTTAATGGGACAAGGGTTTAATAGAGCTCCTTGCCTTGCTGGCTAATGATATTTTAAAAGCTCTCAGGACAGCTGTTATCTCACAATAGGTATTGTACAATTCAAACACACAGAACATATTAATTTGTATAATAGATAAATTTGGCAAAGTTAGTTACATTGTTGCTATGCAATTCAAAACTTTAAATATTCATGCCTAGTTAGTGTTCTACAGTAGTTCACACATAGAATAGAACAGAGGTAACTAAGCATTTGATAAGCCCTATACACTATAAAAGTCATTCATTCATTCATATAGCTAGATAATTCTAAAGCTTAGTTATCTTTGCTCTACTCTATGCTTCAGTACACCAGAACAATGATACTTAAGGCTGCATTCCAGTTTCATAGGTGCGTACGCGCACGTAAAAGTTGAATTCGCTTAAAATTTCATATAAGTGCAAATAACCTTAACAAATACACATTAAATCATACACAAAACTGAATGCTGTCCTCCTATAAATTTAGTTATTTCATAACGCGTAACTGGAATGCAGCCTTAAGGCATGTGACTTATGTAAAGTTGCGAATTTATAACCAAACTTAGACAAATTTGTTTATTGTCTATAGTCCGGGGACTTGTTTGATGAACTTTGTTTTAATTTTTCCTTGAATCCCATTTTTGACAAAAACAATTTTATTATATGAACACATAAACTTAACAAACAAATAGCAGTCTTAATCTCAATCGCATGCAGCATAATATGCAATAGCCCCAGCGACTAACGCTCAATAGAGCGTCTTGTTTAGTTAAAACGTTCGACGCCGTTTCGAGTGTTTTATGTAAATTTACTGACTTTTGCTACTTAAGAGTGTTTAAAATAAAGATAAGTACTTTTAATGGGCAAATAAAGTATAGTATGCATGCATGCTTTGGACTGAATAAAAAATGTATTTATATTAATTTAATCTTATTTTCTGACTTTGCCGCTCTCGCTAAAATTTCAAACCAATTCATCCACAATTATTGTTATGATCCGCTTTAGTACCTCATTGCCACAAATTGAATACAGGCGTAGCCACCTTGTCTGATACTGTGATAGCAATGCGATAGTCGTTTCAAGCTTGATCAGCATAAATAATACTAATATTTGCATGTCATTTACACACTTCAGAGTTCAGTAGTCTTAATTTAGACGCCATACTTAAAACACAACAGCGTTAATTTTATGCTTTATTCTTCAGAAGAAGTCGCTCGAAGATGGAATCGAATTATTCTATCAATCTGTTAGCCATATTTGCTGTGAACGTATTCTTCTTTTTCTCAGGAATATTTTTAAATTCCTTGGTTATACTCAGTTTCTGGAGGTCTGTACAGCTTCGAAAAAAATTATGTTACTTCATGGTAATGGTTTTGTCCTGTTGCGATTTGCTCGGGGTTATAACTAACAGTCCATTGATGGCTCTGATCGCGATCATATGCTTTACTGGAAAATGGGATGAAAATGCTGGATGGGCTCATATTTCCTCAACATCGACAAGTAGTTTCCTTGCTTTTTCATTATTCGCTCTTCTGGTGATGAATTTCGATCGATATTTGGCGACATCTTATCCTATCTTTCATCGAACGTCGGTAACAAAGGGAAAACTTTTAACTCTTCTTGCAATACTGATCACCATCGAAGTAATTTTGAGAGCGATGTCTGTGAATAACTTTCTTATTTCCAACCAATGGCATGCTGCAATTTTTTTTAGTTTTTTCATTCCTCCAATGTTATTTATCAACTACAAACTTATTCTAGTCGTCAGGAAAAGTCGTAAAAACAAAAGAATATCACTCGAAATCAAAAAGACGTTTTCTTTCAAAAATGTTTCTAGTTGTTTGCTAACAGTCGCTTGTGTTGTGGTGTTATCCATTCCAATGGTCGTCTACATTGGATTAAAGATAAGCTCACCAAAGACAACAGGCACTTTAAGTATCGCATACCTTGCAAGACTCTGGGCAAAAACCATAAGCTTGATGAATGGTACATTTAACTGTTTAATCTTTTACTGGAAAAACAAGGTGTTACGTACCGAAGGATTAAAAGTTTTGAAAAGCCTGAAGATATGTCGACGGGTTGAATCCCGCTAGCTGCATTTATAACCCTTCTTCACGAAAACTTAACGTTCCAAAGAAACTCGTTGCATTTCAGGATTTTAATTTTGCCTTACACTGTATCCTCATGGCTTAGCTAACAATATCTTGATCATAGTAAATGTGAACACAACAACTATAAACTCATAGGCAGGTGTGTCAAAAATAGCTGACCAGTTTTGGCATGTTATTTTGCGTTAAATATTGCGTACATAGATTTAATTTCCCCATACTAATAAGGATTACGCCTTTGACTATCGAATGAGACTTTTTTTGTATCATTGCGTTACGAACTGGCTTATTATTTCTGCCGTTAATGGCTATAGACTATATTATACAGCAATTATTTTTATCATTCGCTCTCGTCGTATATGGCTGACACCGACTTGGCGAGCTATCACTTATCAGGACATATACGACTCGAGCTTATGACATAATTGTTAATTATACACACTTTAGTAATTCGTTATAATGACTTTGAGTAGTTTTGGCAACAAAAGGCCAATAGTACATTGTTACACTGCATTAATATATAAGTAGTACGTTGTATAATTACTTTGCTATAGTGCGAGTGCCATTTAATAGAATAACACAGAGACATATAGTTATAGAGTAAAAATAGAAAGTGAGACTGCAGTTTGTATTTCTAAATATTTCGTAAGTATTAAATTCTCATTATTGGGAATGGTAAAACTAGAGACAGTTGTAGTTAGGCGCTTCAGAGTTTCAATAAATTCAAGGAAAGGAACGTTTGATTGTGAGTTTCTCTGAAAATGTCCTGGCAGACTGTATTCTGCCTTTTTTCGGCCCCAGGCCATTTTTCTGCTGTTGCAATGACAGAAAATGATTGGTACTTATAAACTTCCAAGTTTTTTCTTCGTGAAATTATAAAGAGAATTATGTTGAAAGCAGAATATTGTGTTTATAAAGTCAACACATAAGTAAAGCACCTGCTTAGGGACTTTGTTTTAAGTTTAAAGTTGAAACTGAGATTTGGCGTAAATAATTTCGCTGGCAAATGGGATTTAGAATTTTAGGACCCTTTCATAAATTATGAAATATTTCCAAACACATCCAAACACAGAGGGATATTATCTCTTCTCCATATTATCATTTCTTGTTAATGAAATGCACAGTACTTATGTATGTTATTTACAATATACAGCTATTTCAATTAAGGTTCTCCCCCGAGCAAAGCGGAAAAGTCGAATACGAGCGCGAAAGGCTGCTGGGAATCGCTAATAAATGAATGAATTTATTAGCGATTCCCAGCAGCCTTACGCGCTCGTATTCGACTTTTCCGCTTTGCTCGGGGACAACCTTAATTGAAATAGCTGTATACGCCTGTATTCTAAAAGCTCACTCATCAAAGAGTGGAGGTTCAATCTGAGCTTCCCTGGAGTGTCTGTACTGTTTCTGAATAGCTGGAGGGCTAGTGTCGTACCTTATACCCTGTGACTACTCACCCCTCAGCTATTCAAAAACAGCATTGACAGCCAAGGGAAGCTCATTGAACCAAGCTTCCACTCTTTAAGTGTGAGTGAGCTTTTAGAATACATGAGCGATTCTGCAATGTCATTGGCTGAGCTACTGTAGCGAAAAACAAGATGGCGGCTCAAAAACTACAAGAAGTTGCGAACCGGAAAGAAAGGAAAATATTCACTTTTAAAGGAATAAATATAGAAAAAAAACTCCCAAAATTTTTTGACCGGCTAGCAAATACATTCATTATTTATTGAAATTGGTTTAAATGCAAATATTTTAAAGAATAAGCATTAATACTGTTCTCGGGCGATTTATTTCACTATAAATTTTAAAACATATCGGTCATATTTTTAAGCAAGCAAAGTCACATGGAAAACGGATCGTGGCTGAAGAAAATGTCAAAATATTACAAAAGAGAAGACTGATGTATATTACTGATTTACTGTTGCAGTTAATGACTATCAGCAAAACCATATTGTAAAACAATTATACGCATTCGCTGTCGCAATGACATATTATCAAATGATCTTGAAAAATATATTTGCATGTCTTGGACTCTTGAGATTTACAAAATAGATATAACAAATTTTAGAGAGCAAGCAAATTCCAGAAAACTCTCATTTTCGAGAAGTGTGTATGAAATTATTGAATTTTAACTCTATACTTAAAACGTTCCGAGTGTTTTATGTAAATTTACTGACTGCTAAAAGAAAGATAAGTATTCGTAATGGGCAATTAAAGTATAGTAATGTATACTTTAGACTGAATACAAAAATGTATTTATGTTAATTTAATTTTGTTTTCCGGCTTTGTCGTTCTCAGTAACATTTCAAACCATTTTATTTTGGACAATGATTGTCGAAAATTGGGAGGCGTGTTTTGTTTTAGCATCTCATTGCCACAAATTGAATACAAGTGTAGCCAACTTGTTTGACAGCAACGCGATAGTCTCTTCAAGTTTGATTGACACAAGTAATACACTTATATTATATATGCATGTCATTTACACATTTCAGAGTTCAGTAGTTTTAATTTAGATGCCATACTTAAAACGCAACTGCGTCGCTCGAAGATGGAATCTAATTATTTTATCAACCTGATACTTATATTTGCTGCGAACGTATTCTTCTTTTTCTCAGGAATATGTTTAAATACCTTGGTCATACTCAGTTTCTGGAGATCCGTACAACTTCGAAAGAAATTATGTTATTTTATGATAATGGTTTTGTCCTGTTGTGATTTGCTCGCGGTTATAACTAATTGTCCATTGATGGCGCTTGTCATAATGTCATGGTTGTTTGGCAAGTTGGATGTAAATGCTAGATGGCCTCATATTGCCATAAACTCGACCATCACATTCTTTGTTTTTTCATTATTCGCTCTTTTGGTAATGAATTTCGATCGATATTTGGCGACATCTTATCCTATCTTTCATCGAACGTCGGTAACGAAGGGAAGACTTTTAGCTCTTCTTGCAATACTGATCATCGTCGAAGTAATTTTGAGAGCGATGTCTGTAAACGATTTTCTAATTTCCAACCAAGTGCATGCTGTAATTTTTTCTATTCTTTTCATTCCCCCAATGTTATTTATCAACTACAAACTGTTTCTAGTCGTCAGGAAAAGTCGTAAAAACAAAGGAATATCACCCGATATGAAAAAGACATTCTCTTTGAAAAACATATCGAGTTGCTTGCTAGTAGTCGCTTTTGTTGTGGTGTTATCCATTCCACTGGGCGTGTACATTGGACTTAGAATACATTCGACAGAAGCAGCACATACTCTGGATAATGCAAACCTTGCACAGCTCTGGGCTAAAACCATGTCCTTGGTGAATTGTACATTTAACTGTTTAATCTTTTACTGGAAAAACAAAGTTTTACGTACGGAAGGATGGAAAGTTGTGAAAAGCATTAAAGTATGTCGACGGCTTCAATCCTAGCTGCACTTATAACCCTTCTTCCAAACACCTTAACGTTCAAAGGAAACTCGTTGCATTTCAGGATTAAAATTTTTCCTTATACTGTTTTCTCATGGCTTATCTAACAATATCTTGGTCAGAGTAAATGTGAACACAACAAACTATATATATAGACTCATATACATATATAGCTGACCAGTTTTGGCATGTTGTTTTGGGTTAACTATTCCATTCTTCTAATATTTATAGGCTTTAGCTATCGAATGAGACCTTTTTTGTATCATTGCGTTACGAACTGGCTTATTATTGCTGCGGTTAATGGCTATATATAAGACTAAATTATACAACAATAATTATTTATACCATTCGCTCTCATCGTATGTGGTTGATACCAACTTGGCGAGCCATCAGGTGATATACGACCCGAGCTTATGGCATAATTGTTAATTATACATGTTTTACTGATTCGTTATGACTTTGAGTAGTTTTGGAAGCAAAACGACATTATATATAGTAAATCAATACATGCAGTAGATATCAATGATATACAAGTATAGTACTTTGTTAGGGACCAGTCATTATTTATGACTGGGGGTGGGCTGGCAAAATTCAATTAACAACTAAACAAAATGTGCTGCCCCCTACATTACAAAAAATTCAATGACCCCTTTCACATGAATTCTAAAAAAGTAGTACCCCCCCCCCAACCACCACCGATGTATACATACATACGACCAGGCATCATATCTACATTTACTTGTGCTTTTGACAATATGCATATTTAATCAGAACAAACTCTGCTTCTCCAAACTTTAAACTGGCCAGTAGGATTTTGATAAACTGAAATTCCGACTTAAAAATTAGAATCCAGTTTCAGTGTATTTTCTACACTACAAAGTATATTTTCTACAATAGCACACATTATGTACTTACTAAATTAAACCAGGTATAAAATACCTAGTATATACTAGTGTATATAGTATACGCCAAACTCGTCTGGAGGTAATGCTGTTACTATAGCTTACTCGTTATCGTGACTGTCTCTTTTATTAAAGTACATCAGGGAAACACGAAGTTCATGGCAAAAGTTATAAGGTAGATATAGATTGGGACAATCTAGTTTTCACATGCATTCGGTTGTAATATACCATTTCCTGATACATTTTTTCCACCCTCCCTCCCCCCACCCGTTTCAATGTTGGCGCCGCGCACCCAGACATCAGATTTTTGTTGGCCCAACATTGAATTGGGGGAACGGGAGGCGCTATTCCTTTCAAAATATATGAAATTACAGCAGCTGTCCCATAGTTTCTGGCAAAGATTGTAGATGTTGGATCGTTTTTCATATTAGCTGCGCACATTGCGTTTTGGGTATTTGAAATAGATAACCAAATTTTAGAGAGCAAGCAAATTCCAGAAAACTTCTCACTTTCGAGAGGTGTGTATGAAATGATTTAATTTTAACTCTATACTTAAAACGTTCGACTTCGTTCCGAGTGTTTTATGTAAATTTACTGACTGCTAAAAGAAAGATAAGTAAGTTTAATGGGCAATTAAAGTATAGTAATGTATACTTTAGACTGAATACAGAAATGTATTTATATTAATTTAATTTTGTTTTTGGACTTTGCCGTTCTCAGTAACATTTCAAACCATTTTATTTTGGACAATGATTGTCGAAAATTGGGAGGCGTATTTTGTTTTAGCATCTCATCGCCACAAATTGAATACAAGTGTAGCCAACTTGTGTGACAGCAACGCGATAGTCTTTTCAAGTTTAATTAACATAAATAATACACTTCTATTATATATGCATGTCACTTACACATTTCAGAGTTCAGTAGTTTTAATTCAGGCGCCATACTTAAAACGCAACTGCGTCGCTCGAAGATGGAATCAAATTATTTTATCAACCTGATACTTATATTTGCTGTGAACGTGTTCTTCTTTTTACGATATTTGGCGACATCTTATCCTATCTTTCATCGAACATCGCTAACGAAGGGCAGACTTTTAACTCTCCTTGCCATACTGAGCATCGTCGAAGTAATTCTGAAAGTGATGTCTGTAAACGACTCTGTTGTTTCTAGCCAAATGCATGCTGTAATTTTTTTATCTTTATTCATTCCTGCAATGTTATTTATCAATTGCAAACTGTATCTAGTTGTCTGGAAAAGTCATAAAAACAAAAGAATATCGCACGAAATCAAAAAGACGTTTTCTTTGAAAAATATTTCAAGTTGTTTGCTAGCAGTCGCTTGTGTTGTAGTGTTATCCATTCCAGTGTTCGTCTACATTGGACTAAGAATAAACTCGATAGAAACAACATCTACTTTGAATAGTGGAAACATTGCGTTGTTGTGGAGCAAAACTACGGCGTTGATGAATTGTACATTTAACTGTTTAATCTTTTACTGGAAAAACAAGGTGTTATATACCGAAGGATTAAAAGTTTTGAAAAGCCTGAAGATATGTCGACGGGTTGAATCCTAGCTGCACTAATTAATAACTATTTTTCCAAACATCTTAAAGGCACAGTTCAGCCTTTTGAACGATGGTTTTTAAGGCGCATTTCAGCCCTTTTAATTCAAAAAACTAACTAGGAAAATCAATTATACACAATTCAAGATCAGTAAACTCAATGTTTTTAACAATAAAAATGTTTTAAAATGTTAAAAACATTAAGTTTGCTGATCT